TTACCATCGCTTGTTCACGCGTTGAATTGCCAGGGTTCGATTTCCGCGTCATATTCTCTGTTGGGTCCACCTACGTTCTGTCTAAGCTGGCACAGTATGACAACATTTGCTTGCATCTAAGCCGAGGTTGGGAACACGTGGAGCTTTCCATCCATTCTTCCCATACTTCTTCATGGCGTGGTTCTTAAGCACAGCAGGTTTACTTTCTGTGATTACAAGTGCAAGTGTACATAATGTTCAGACAGCCTTCGGATAATGTGTTCTTCCGGTGGGCATGAAATGAACGTGCGATATGCATGCTAAAACAGCGGGACCTTTGCTTCTGTTCCTATCTTGTCTTCCTCTCCCCCCCCCCCCCCCCCCCTTTTAAGGATTTGTCTTGTCTTAGTCGCCCTCCTAAAAATGCTTTGCCCTTTAGTTTGTAGTGATAGTTTCTAGACATCATCACCGAAATCATCTTTTTCCTGCAAAGTGCAGTGTTGTCTAGTGTTAGAAGAGAAATCTTGTTTGTGAGATTGGCCATACAGACATACATCACATTTTTATCTTCTGCTCTCTGCAGATTAGTCCAAGGCCTTTTCTGTACTCGTGTCCATCTTTTGAGCAGTCTCTGTATCCTTTGGCTTCGATTCCTATAGGGGTATGATATTTGTTTTCGCCGCTACATCCAGAGTGACTCCTGATGTCCTCGCAGCGTCCTATACAGAGTACCGGAATTCTTTCTTCAGGGAAGAAGTTCCACTCACTTCGTCTGTTGCCGAGGTTATGAATGCGTTTGCGTCGGCATGGCGTGGTATTTAGTTAAGCTCCAGGGATAACTTTTTCCTTGCCCGTGTTTTAAATACGCAACTGTCCATAACATGTATCTATCTTGGAAACGAATTAAATAGAAGACATCTTCTGAGATATGTTGTATATGTTCTCCGACGTTTCAGAGGTGCATATTGCTTTCATGATCCTTTGTCGTGTTGATGGATGCTGTAAGCACGTCGGTAAAACTTTTACCAGACCACACCCCGCAACATCCGAGAAGACATTTGAGTACCTGAAATCCATGTATGGATTGAAGTTTAGGGGGGGTGTGAGGGGGCGATGCATAAAGCGTTGCTGTTTCTTCTGTTGCAGTTGATTCAAGCATTCACGAACTACAAGAATCAGAGTACGGGCCAACTCTCGGCCGTCACATGTTTCATGCTGTTCTTTGGTGCACTGACTCGTATCTTCACGACGATACAGGAGACTGGCGATGGAATTCTCCTGTTTACCTTCGTCTGTACATCGGCACTGAATGGCCTCATCGCCGGGCAGATCTTGTGGTACTGGAACTCTGACAAACTCAAGAAGAAGGAATAGATCAGAACACTGATTGAAAACAACGAATTTTGTTGTCAGGTGGTTTCAAGAGACAGGCCTTTACATTTGTCACGAATTCCTATTGGCATGCCTTCATGTGTATCCAGTATGTATTTGTTTAAATATATTTCTTAGAAGATTCTAGATTTATATTAATTTCTGTGTGCACTGCCAATATGAACTTTAAGGAGGGGAGTCATTCAGCCATTAAATTCTATTGCCAATATGTCAGAATTATAAGCACAGTTTACTACTACATTCCATTTGTACTCTAATTGTTTCTAAAGTGTGTACATAACATGTGTGCAATAGTAAATGTTGATATTCGTTATATCCAACGTTGCCACTCATATTTTAAAACAGGGTCATACAAACTTTTCTTCTTGGAAATAATGAATTTTGAACAGCAGCTAGTGTGGTAATTTGATAGTGCTGTGAGTGTTCTAATATCATACTTACTTGCATGATTTATCTGATCGCATAATATTATACCTTCGCGTCTGAGGAATTATCATTGATTCTAATTTCTCTCCGGTAATTGGTTTTAATTGTTGATAGTATTGTCTGTTAAAATCTGCGCCTTTAACGAACTGTCCCCCGTTTTATGTATTAGGTTTTAAAAATTAGAGGAAATTATATTCTGTGAATAAGAACAGACATGTTTGCCTTATCTGCTCATACGAGACATCGGAAGTATGCTCTTATTTTGTGAGTCTTAAGAAATTGATTTAGGAGATGCTAGTACTAATATCTGTGTATATTCTTATCAGTTGCGCACTGAATTCCCATAGCAGAAATATCAGGGACATATTTTTCCTTTGGTCATTGATCCATTGCAAGGCTTATTACCTCAGTCCTGGGATACATAAATTTTGATAATTACTTCAAATAGAGTGGTGTAAAAAATTTCGATTATACGCATATAGAAAGTACTGAATATAAAATCTCTAAATTGTTTGTTTGATCTTGTGTTATATCTAAATTTTAGTGGCATTTAAAGCAATAACCACGAAACAAAAATTAAAGTTAATAATTTTCATAAAATGTTCAAGAACGTAGTTTGTAGTGGAAATCACGTGACACTAGGACTGCTTATCCATTTTCAGCATTGCTCACCACTTTTTCCTGCCTACTTTGTGTGTGCGTGTGTGATTTGATTCCAATTAGTTTTTCTAGCCACAGCTGTTTGATTTAAGTCCAGGAATACTAGGACATTTACGTGAAATAGGACTACATTTTTGCACCAGAATTGCCACAGAAAACCTGTTACTTATTTCTAGTCTCACAATATTTGACTTGGAATACATTTAATGTTCTAATTTATTAATTGTAAAACTACGTTGATTTTAATATGGAGGATATATATTTATGATGGGACGAGAGGTGTGCACCGGGTTTTGGTTGGGAAGCCTGTGGGGAAGAGACCGCTGGGGAGACCTAGACGTAGATGGGAGGGTAATCTCATGCGGGATCTATGGGAGAAAGGAGTTGAAGAGATTGGATTTTGTTGGCCCAGGACAGGGTCCGGTGGAGGGCTTTGGTTAATTCGGTGATGAATCTTGTGTTCGGTAAGCCATCTACTTAGTTAGTTAGTTAGTTAGGTTTCTGGTTTCGTATACACAATATACATACAAGAATGTCTGGTTACTGCAACCAGACATGCGTTATTAGCTCAAGGTTCAACATTCGCATTGCTGGTTTATTATTCTGATAGTGCTCATTCTCGTATAATTTAAACACTTTTAAATAAATATCAGTCTTTATAAGATGAAAATGATAAGCATTGATAAGTTTTTTTATTTAACATTTATTTTTGGTTACTGTCAGAAATTGATTTTGTCAGGTGGGTTTTGAATACGTATAGGCTACATTTGAGATAAATATCAATCCTGTGTTTGGAAGGACACGGATGGCGACAAATGATAACACATTTGTGTTTGACGGCGAGAAAGCAATGCATTCCGAAATAGAAAAAAAAACAGCTGTGTTAAATTGGTGCACTTCGTGAATTTTGTGGTTTCTTCGCAAATGCTTGTTATTGTTTTTGTAGTTTATATTGCCTTTCATACTTTAATTATGTTTTATGTATAATGCACTGATGTTTCTTTTTGAATAGGTTGAATTATTTTCGTTGCAAAATTACTTACAGTTGTTTGAAGGACTTCGTTTTGAATTTAAAATATAACTCATGAGGGGATTCTGTGATTATGCAATAAAATTGACCTAAATTCAAGATACTGTAAGATTATCAGGACACTTGTAATTAGTATTGGTGTTTTATACGTATATATATGCATTCAACCTGAGACACGTGTGTTTTGTGATGGTGTGGTGTGTATGGAATTTATATAAATCTTTTGTACCCAAAAATTATTCATAGGCTTGAATGTTTCAGGTTGAACTTGCAATATTCTGATATATTTAATATTTTGAAATTTGAGTCACGTTAGCTATCCAGAGTGAGGCAAGTATTTTAAAGTATATTTGTTGCAAAAAGAAACATTGTGTCATGATTGTGAATTAAATAGATGTTGGTTATAATTTATAATCTTTTGGGTCCTGTATTGATCAAAATATTCCCTGAAAAATAATTTTGATAAGACGAGGAAACAAAATTTGATGTAATGGCTGAGAAACAAAAATTAATTAAAGGAAGCTATGAAATAAATGTAATGTCTAGTCTTTTATCGAAGTTTAAAACTAATTCTGATATTGCAGTTCATCGATTTCTCTACCCCTGCTTCATATAACATATATATATAGTAGTTACAGAGTGTGACATTGTACTTATTTTCTTTAATTGGATTTCGCTTTTGATATAATTTGCCTCATGTTAAAATGGGCTAGACCCTACGCACATTGAACAGTAATTTGTAAGATGTTATTTGCTTTAAATATTTGAGGATGTCCAAAAATAGGAAGGAGCTCATTGAAATTCCAGCAGAAAACTGTAACGACCAGCGAACTGCCATGTCAGCGTGGCGACTTCGCCGTGACAATTTTCCGATGATAATGTAAAGAACGTGACACCGTAAGTGCTTGTCCGAGATAAAACAAAAGTTTTTAATATTTGAGATTGGAAAACTTAATTTAACGATTTCACCCTCTTTCCTTTTCTTCTAAGTAACAGTTACGTTCTATGGCCCCGGAATTATGATACAGGCTGTGAATCTCTACAGATGACAAAAGAGTGTCACTGAATAACATGCGAAACAAGCCGACAGGATACCATAGGCGTTTATTGTCTAGAAGAATGAGGGAAATTCTGAAAGATTAAGGAAACTGACTTAAGTATATTTCCGAATCTTGCATAATACTGTCCGTATTACACTAAATTACAACCCTGTCGACGTCGTAATTTTCAGATGCCGCATGAAATATTTAACAAGAATTCTAGAAGCTTCTGTTAAACGATCTGAAGGGGTACTCTGTTTTTGTTTGTTTTTTAACCAAGAATTTGCGAAATGAAATTGATGGCTGTTGTATGAGCTATAATTATGCGTGGCGTTATTTGTAGCATTCCCATGGGAATGCCTGAGGATGTTCGGTGGAGCATAGTGTTTTGCTTGAGTGACATATACTTCTTGAACCCTAGTAGCTGCTTTGCCAAAGTTCACCTGCTCTCTCTGTCTTAAGAAGTGTGGGAAGTTCCCAAGTTCCTTGATCTTCCTGTCATTGTAAGTGCATTATATGAGAAAGTATCTGAAAATGTGAACCGACATGATTCATCGACAAGAAAACTGAAGAAAGGAAAAGGTTATGTTCATCTGTGTACAGGCGGCACGCATTATACGCGTTTTCGATATCCACGGTTTTATCTTAGTAAGTCATGGGGGGCATGAATATCATATCCGCGGCCACGGTAGAAGCTACCGCGCAGGCCCGTACCGAGTAGCGCGCGTCGTTACACTGACTCGTCCCACAATCTTGACTCAGGGCCTTGCAAATGAAGGCCCCTGATTGTGCGTCACTCATAAGACGTGAGCGTCTTACGCGGTTTTGATTTCTGCGACGATTTGCATGTAACGAAGTCTAGCGTATAACGAGAGTCGCCTATACATGCGTTAAAGTTATAAAATTGTTATAGAGTAACCCACTCGTGCTTTGTATTTGGGAGATCCCAGGTTCAAATCTCGAACCGGAGATCGGCTGTAGTGTCTGATGCTTTTTTTCTCGGGTTCTCCCGGCAGATGTGAGGACAGTATATTAAAGTGGTCCACGACTGCTTCTTTCCATACGTATAATCGGGCAGGTTGGCGTGGAAGAAACACTGAATTTGTTGTGCGATAGAACCAGTGGACAATACTCCGGTCTGACTGGTTGTTCACCGCCAGATCACTGAAACTGAAGGAATACAAAATAAATGTTTTACTGTATTATTATTTGTTATTAAAATACTTTAGCACTGTGTTACGATTGGTCGGCGAATTTAATAATATTGCGTTTCCGCATGACCTGACTTCTGGAGCAGAATTAGGCACGTGGGAAAATGTCACTTCCAAATAGAGCAATTCAACCCCTTGTATTTTAGGCCTGTTGGTACTAAGCAGACCTTTTCAGAGTTTCTATAATGGTATAAAATTAATTTCCTGAAAGTTACACCTACAGCTGTTCAATTTTTTTATCATGTTTTAACCATATAAAATCATTATATACCTGCAGCAGGCGACAAAGTCAGAAGCGGAAGTACGGCCACACAGATCGTCTCCCTTACCCTCCCCCGTCCACATGTCGCCATATTGCATACACTTCATAACAAGCTTGTTGTTGGCTGTGCTCGTCAGAAGCTTCGACCTTCCTTCATAATGCAGGATCCGCTTAGGACTAGTTATTTCAGTTAGTGGGATGTATCCTTCCCTTTTTTGTAATTGGATGCGCCCTCGTTTACATGCCACTACCGCTGTCAGAAATCATTCACTTGGTGATTATGCTATTGGTCTTGACGTCTCATCCCCAACGGTCCAATTACGTGGGTTAACCAAACCTATAGATCTATTACCTTTTTCTTTTCGTTCCCCTGGGGCTGAAACCACACCGATTGGTTTAAACTGATGTGCTTCTCCCTAGATGGGGTTCTTTTCCGATTGTTCCCGTTGTTAAATGCTGCTAGATCAATCATAGGAGTGAAGCTGAAGAACGTTTACCGTACTTATGCCTGGCAGAATTTCGAAGAACAACGTGAATGTGCGATGTAAGCTACTAACACTTTCACCTTTAATTATATCTCTTCATCTTCCTATCTTTTTCCAGTCTTCTATATATATATTTTGTATCTGTGTTATAAGTAAAGGTAACGTTACCATTAGTGTGTCTGTGTGTTATCGCTTATAAAT